TTTTTATTGCCTTTCTATTCTACCTTCTCATTGGCTCTAAACCCAACCACATGATTTCCTCGTCACTGCCTGTCTATACAGACCTTCAGGTCTCTATGGTTTGCACTGGGATTAAAGGTTCGGGTCACCCTTGCCTGTGTCCTTGACCACACAGAGACTCTGCCTGCCATGCGATTGGATTAAGGGTGTGTGCCACCACTGATGCCAGACTTCTGCTAAATGGCTTGCTTTTAGCTCTGACCCCTAGGCAACTTTATTTATTAACATACAAATAAAATCACATTTCAGCACAAATAAAACATCACCATAGGACACGGTTAATAAGACAAAACAACAGCCTACAGAATGGGAAAAGATCTTCACCAACCCCACATCTGACAGAGGGTTCATCTCCAAAGTATATAAAGAACTCAAGAAACTAGACATCAAAATACTGAACAATCCAATTAAAAAATGGGCTACAGAGGTAAACAGAATTCTCAACAGAAGAATCTCAAATGGCTGAAAGACATTTAAAGAAATACTCAACATCCTTAGTCATCAGAGAAATGCAAATGAAAATGACACTTAGATACCATCTTACACTTGTCAGAATGGCTACGATCAAAAACACTAATGACAGTCAATGTTGGAGAGGATACGGAGCAAGGTGAACACTCCTTCACTGTTGGTGGGAGTGCAAACTTGTACAATCACTGTAGAAATCAGAAAATTGGGAATCGATCAACCTCAAGACCCAGCCATACCCCTCTTGGGCATATATCCAAGGAATGCTCAATCATACCACAAAGATACATGCTCAACTATGTTCATAGCAGCATTATTTGTAATAGTCAGAACCTGGAAACAACCTAGATGCCCATCAACTGAAGAATGGATTAAGAAAGACAATGTGGTACATATACACAATGGCGTACTACTCAGCAGAGAAAAATAATAACATCATGAAATTTGCAGGCAAATGGATGGAACTAGAAAATATCACCCTGAGTGAGGTAACCCAGACTCAGAAGGACAAACATGGAATGTACTGATTCATAAGTGGATATTAGGTATAAAGCATAGGACAATCAGACTGCAACCCACAGATCCAGGGAGGCTATATAGCAGGGGAGACCCTAGGATGACTGTGGCTTATAATAAGTTTTGGTTTTACCTAATCACTGGGCAAGCTTTAGTGAAACATTTCACTATTAGGATAAGAATTTGTACCGTATGAAGCTGATGAAAGAAAATGCTGGCTGTATTTACAAGAGGGGAGGCTAAAATCTTTTTAGATTATGGATTAGCCTATAGAAAAATGTCTGCCCTAAATCAAACAGTGAAGGGGAAGATTGAATCTCACTTACATAACTTAAGTAAAATATAGCTCTCGGAACAGATGAAGATAGGTTTTATAACCTGTTTTTATGTTTAAAAAAATTAAGTGGAAAATGCTGAAGGATCACTGAACTTGATACTGTATTCACATATCTGTATCTGTATAAAACAATGATTGTAAATGTTTGTTTAAAAAGGGGAAGTGCAAATGTGAATTTAACAAGAAGTTGTAAAGTTTCTACACTGTACACAAACTCCTTTGTTACAATATTTATGCTTCATTAAAAAAAGAGAGAGAAAGAAAAAGGTGGTCCTTTGGAGACGGCTCAGTGGGTTAAAAAAAAAAAGTGGGACCTTAGCCCACTCCAGTCCCAGCACTCAGGAGGCAGAGGCAGGCAGATCTCTGAGTTGGAGGTCAGCCTGGAGTTCAGAACAGCCAGGACTGTTTGGGAGAGAAACTGGGTCTCAAAAATCCAAAAGAAGGAGGAGGGCCAGGGTGGCTTTTCAGAAGAGATTAAGCCCCAGGGGCTCTGGCTTCAAGAATGGGATTCCTTCTTAAGGTGTTGCTGGGGAATCCTTGTCTTTAAAGTCCTTTCTCTCCTCCTAAGGCTACAGCACTGTGGGCTCCGGCTGGAAGCCCAAGCAGACCCACCACTACTCCACAGAGTACTTCTCAGCCTCCAAAGTGTGGGAAACAACTTTCTTCTGGGTATAAACTAACGAGTATCTTAGTGATATCTTGGTGAAGAGCTAAAAAGCTAAAAGACCCTCATGAGACAAGTCTTTACTTCTCCTCGTCTTTCCCTAGCCCCCTGGGGCTAGGCCTGGAGCTCACTAAGGCGCCCTGGCTGGCCTTGAGGTTTTTGAAAATCCACAGTGAGGTAACCTTTTAAATAAAACTTTAAAGTATTTAATTAGCTCTAACACATACATACATCCCGAGGATAATTTGGGACCTCCTCCGGGAATTGCTCTAATTTTGTGGTTGGCATATATATGCTATGCATATATGCATGGTCTTTATGCGTGTGTGTATAAATACATGTATTAAGTATGTATCCCCAGCTGGCCTCCAATTTACTACATAGACAAGGCTGACCTTGAACTGCTGATCCTCAGGCCTCCACCTTCCGAGGGGAATGATTATGTGCTTGTGCCACCCACCACATTGAGTAGCAAAGGGTACATTCTCAATGTTGACTAAGGAAACAACATGCATGTCTCCCTTACACTGGCCTTATTCTGCCTTTCAGGCAAGGCTCGTCATAAATATTTTCTTTCTTTCTTTCTCTATTGATGTATCCAACCGTCTTATTAAATAAGAAACACAGAAACAATGTAAAAGAGAAAGCCGAGAGGTCAGAGCTCAGAGCTAAAATCTCACCCTTCCTCCT